AGAAGAAGAAGAAGAAGAAGAAGAAGAAGAAGAAGAAGAAGAAGAAGAAGAAGAAGAAGAAGAAGAAGAAGAAGAAGAAGAAGAGGAAGAAGAGGAGGAAAAGAAGAAGTAGTAGTAGACGAAGAAGAGGACAAAGAAGAACTAAAAAAAAAAAAGCACTATTTAAAAGGCAATTCTGTTTTCTGATAATGAGGAAAAGTTAATTGACAAATAAAGAAAACAATACTGTAGCAGTGTGCTTGGTAGACAAAAAAAAAATCTGCAAATAAAATGCACTCTGTTTTTACGACGTTCAATTTTCCGCACAGTTCAACTTGTTACGTTGTCTGTCACATTGATGCCATAATTTTGACTTTTTCTGAGTTTCCTCTTGTTTCTCCTAACCCTCTTTATTTCTCTTATTTTATCTTTATTTGTATGCTCCTTTTTCTCTTCCTATGATGTTACTGTTAATCTTCTGTTTCTCTTCTTCTTCTTCTTCTCCTCCTCCTTATTCTTAGTGGTTTTTTTTTTTTAGTTCTGTAGTGGAAGGTACGTTTGGCATAAGTCACAGTGGATATTGTACTTCTTCTTTAAATTAGGGGGGAAGTCATCGATACGGATGGCTCAGTGATTAGTGCAGTCCGGGTGGGTATTCACGGCGCATGTGAACGGGAGGAGAGTAAAAGAAGAAAATGAGGAACTCAGTTCACTCACTTCTGATATGGCGATGGACATAGCCGCTGTCACATGAGCACATGCATGGCTGTCAGAACAGAATGCAACTCTGGTGTTGAAAGTGACAGACCTAATGAGCATACTAAAGAAGATTCAAACTAGCAAACTCGCAATAGTGTGGATTAACAGCATCCAAAAGTCCCGCATCAAGAAACAAAGTTTGTGTGCGTGTGTGTATGTGTGTGTGAAAAACAAGTGATGGTGGAAAAGGGGGGGGGGGGGGGAGGGAATGGCCGTTCCTAATTAGGAATAGACTAGTCGTTGACTTATTTTGTACCAATACAATCCAACGGCGATTTGAACTAGGTTCGCTTCCTCAAGGGAGTTGAAGCCATAACCAGTGATCTACTTCAGCCGTCTAGTTAGCAACAGCACACTCCCTGTCTGACTATTCTCTCAGTGGAGTGGGCGATAATCACTCTTCACAACTCTGGCTCGTGCGTTTTTTTTTTATCAATCAATGTACTAACATCTTGCAATGTCATTAAGCAGTTTGTGCAGAATATTTTCACTCTGTCACATTGATTGTACCAGATATTTTCCTCTGGCTATCTTCTCAACAGTCGGCTCTGTGGCTAAGTCGATGCGAACGCTTCGTAATGCCGGGGTACCGGGTTCGATCCCAGCTGCAGGACATACGCCTTGCGTTGGTTTCGACAGTGGTATCAGGGAGCTGACTGTCCAGAAAGCAATGACAAACTACTGGACGTAAATTTGCCTAGAAAAACCACACAACAGCCAGGGGGTGTTGGGGTTGGTTCTGCAACGTCCTGTAAAGGATACGCAACAAACCTATCTTCTCAACACTCGTAGAAATATCAAGTGTGTAGTTCTGGTCCATTTAGAGCTTTTGCGGTGTCTTAGTTTTTTTTAGTGTCAACTCCTATTGTGTCTCAACGGGGCATGTTTTTGACTTATTGCAGTAGTGAAAAATTAGGAACCATTTCAAATTAAAGGTTTCACTTCAGGTCGTGCTTACGGGGACTGACCAGCTGGTGCTGCAGAATCAGAAGTTCGACAAATGATTCATGATAATTCCTGCCCAGGTGATGGGATAATCTATGCAGATGGTTCCGCGTTGAGAAGCAGACGACGTGCACCAGGTTTCAGAGCTGGTTTTAAGGTTTTGAACAACGGATCGACATCATGCCACACGGGTGTAATCCATAAGTGCTCCGTTCTTCTTCTAATTCAAGACTGAGTCCGAAGACCCCCAGCACAGTGCACAGGCTCTGTAGCACCAGCGAGGATCCTAAAATACTTTGAGTAGATTTTTAATATAAATTTTGCCCGGGCAGGGCCGTTAGGCTACTCTTTTCGATTTCAGACTGCCAAGGGATTTTTTTACGTGCGCAACAATGCACACGGGCGTCTGACCACACTACCCAGAGACCAGGGAAATTACTTGAAGTTAAAGTCCACTTGAAAAATTCCCAGCCCTTACCGAGGATTGAACCGGGAACCTCCAGCACTCGAGGCGGACCCCATACGTCGAGAACACGTAGCCCCAAAGGGTTCACAGCAAAAGTGAATAGGCGCCGCTTAGTGCAACAAAGACAGGAATATAATATTACAACATCTATTTTGAGAATGGAGGTGGAGGCAGTCACTGCTGCCTTTCGCTTGAGGGAGAATCAGCTGTATACATGTGTCGTGAATCTGCTGTTAGCAATAGCATCCCAGAGCGGGGTGTTCACTTACCCTGACAGTCTAAAACAATGCCGAATGTTGAAATCCTCAGCCATTTGGACGTGGAGAACAAGGGAAGACTATCCCTCGAATCTCTCAACGGAAGACGAAAATGAGACTTACAGGCGCACCGTGAAGAGATTGGCGTTCTTCAAGCGACCCGCTGATTCATTGACTGAATAGGGGTACTAGGGGACTAAAACAAATACCCAATGAAATTGACGAACATTAGATGGGATGAATTCATGAAAGGCCAAGAGGAATGTCCTGATAGCTGCAAGTAGCAACATTTATATTACAGAGAGGATGCGGTATACAGGGACAATATTCAGAGAAGGCCAACGGATAAATGGCCAGACAGGAACTTAAAGGGATTGAGGAAAGAGAACGTCCAAAAGAACCCTTAAGTGGAACGAGGATAACAAAGGCCAAATATGATTGTCTGGATTCCATCCATGATATTAAAAGGAACCGATAAAACTGACGTTTGGCTGGTAACGAAATAACAGAATTGTCATGATGATGATGATTTTGATGACGATGATGTCGGTACCACTGCCTGGGGAAGCCGCAGGCAGACGCTTTATAGACTCTTATGTATAAGCTTTTTTCATGGGCTGTTGTCGACGTGGTGTCATTCCGACAGGGAAACGACACACTGACCGGAAGTGAGTCATGAGACTCCACATGCAGCGAGTGTATGTGCCGATTGTCTCGCAGACTTATAGCTTCCAAAGCGAGTCACCAGATCGGTTCATTTAGTTAAAGATTCGACATCAAATGTTTCAGGACAAGTCTATATTAGCCCCGTCTCCCCCTTCAACAGTCAGCGAAGTCTCCATTCTGATGGTGCGTGTTGTCGTCTGGTTAACTACTCGTCCTGACTTTCCCACGAGTCTCGAGTGGGTTTGTAAAATAATCACTTGACCTTCTGACCTAGTATTTTAGTTTACCTTTGCATTACTTTTACAGGTAAATCTCACCCCACCCTTTTTCCTCCAAATATCTCTCTCTGCTTGTCTGTCTATAAATCAGTGAGAGAGAGAGAGAGAGAGAGAGAGAGAGAGAGAGAGAGAGAGAGAGAGAGAGAGAGCGAGAGAGCGAGGATTAATGTGAGTGTATGTGGGTGAGTGTGTGTGTGTGTGTGTGTGTGTGTGTGTGGAGGCGTGTGTGTGTGTATGTGTGGGTGACAGAGACCAATTGTTTAATTTTTTGGGGTTTTGTTTTAGCTTTTCCTGTGTGGGTGGATTTGTTTTAGCTTTTCCTGTGTGGGTGGATTTGTATGAGTATGAATGTTCAATTGTACGCAATTTATATTCAAGCTTTTGTGTTTTGAATTGACATGTAAGCAAATACTGATTGGTACCTTTCCGTCTTGGCAGACGATATTGTTTAACTGCGCTATGAGGAGGCATGGGACTCAGCCCATGGCGATGGCGAGTGTGACTTGCAAGACCCACCCGAGTTAAGAAAAGTCTTCCACAATTATAGCATGGGATTTTAGGACATTATAACTCGTAACAGCTACCTCTCGATTTGTATCCGAGACCAATTAAGGTCAGGGATAAAGTTCCTCCTCTCCATAGCACAAAGTCCTTGAAGTACTTTAGAGACGTATGATGCTAATGCATCATGATCCCTCCTCAACCTGCCTTGTTTACTCCAAAGGAAAGATAACATCAGTACGTTTGGAACAAAACAGGCTACAGAAGCTGCCGGGTCAGAAAAGCAGTGCTCTATCTGTCCGCCTGTCGGAGCTTCTCTCCTAGACCAGCTGTCAGCCAAGGCGAAGAGTCTGGTCTGCCCTGCAATAACATAAAGTTTGCAGGTTGCATTTCCTCTTTCTATGATAAGGCTGGGATGTGCTCCTCCACCCGAAGCCGTTGGCACAATATGGAATGTTTGGTATACGCCGCCCAACATTCGGCGCTAACAGAAGACAGGTAGTATTCTGACATATGAATAATACTTGCTTTATAAATAAAATATAACTGCTGTGAGAAAGATAAGTGTTTGGAAAACAGAGAATGAATTAAGCTGAGTTACAAATCTACATCATAAACACAAACTAAACCCTACAAAACAACAGATAAACTAGTAAAACAAAAACAAGTTCGTTGCAGAAACAACCCCAGCATTTTTTTTGTTCATCTGCTGTTCTTGGCCAGTTTGCATTCAGCAGTTTTGTTTCTAAACGGTGGCTATCGATTCCACTGTCAAAATCAACGCAAGGTTGTCTGCTGCCAAATCGGCTGCAGATGGAATCGAACTCGGCACACTTGCATTACAAAGCGCATTTTCAACGTCTAATAAACACACACCGACTGCAAAAACATACTTTTTTTTAAAATGAAACAAATATAAAACAAAAAGTCAAACAAAAACTCAACCCTCCCCCCCCCCCTTTTTTTTTTTCGCCGCCCCCCCCCCCCCCCATGTTTAAAAAAAATAATAATAACGTACAATGTACTAACTTTAAAAGTCGAACAAAATTTCAGCAACAAAACATAAATAATCACATAAAATATACTTACTTTGAAAGTCAAACAAAATTTCAGCAACAAAACATAAATAATCACATAGAATATACTTACTTTGAAAGAATTTAAAGTCCCAAAATAAATAGGCACAAATGCAAGCCATATGATGCAAGTCGTATACATTGCAAATCCAATAAACTTTGATTCGTTGAAATTCTCAGGAATCTTTCTAGTTTTTACCGCGTAAACAGTGCAGACGATGATTAGAAGCATGTTGTAGATGAGGCTGACGAGGAATGAGATGTCGTCGCTTCTGCATTTCTTGATGACAACGGGCTCCCTGGAATCTGGGTAATGGAGGCGTGTTCCTGGAGGCTCTAGTAGCAGCCATACAAAGGTGAACAGAACCTGGGAGTGTGAAAATGTTTGGGTTAGTTTATTAGTGGGTTAAACACATAACAGTGACCACTGTATGAGTATGTTAAACAAATATTAGAGGTCTGTACAGGCTACATGTTAAACATATATTAGCGTTTACTAGAAGGGACATGCTAAACAAACATAAAAGTGCCGTAAAAGGAACATGTTAAACAAATATCAGTGGTCTGTAGAGGGTACGCGTTAAACATATATTAGCCTTCAATAGAAGCAGCATGAAAAAAAAAAAAAAATAAGAGTGCCGTAAAAGGAAAATGATAAACAAATATTAAAGGTCCGTAGAAAGAACATGCTAAATAATATTTACAAATTTTATCAATATAAGAAATATCAACCTTTTGGGATCGTCAGCCTGTTAGGTACATCTGCAGTTGCAACAAATACATAACCATATCCAAATGTGTCAACCATAATACCATTTGCTGTTCAGTTAAGATAAACCCTGGGGTCTAATGGAGACTGAAGGAGAACACTAACTGTTGCATATTGGAGACATGTTTACAATTGAACAAGGCAGATGGATAGCCTGGATCTGCACCACTGGGTAGATGAGTTGATGCATGACAAGGCAAATGTGGTCAAGGCTCTTTGCGAACAAGTCAAAAGAGAAAATAGATTGTTATGGCTAGGAGAGAATGATACACCTGGGTGTGACCAGAGGTCCTGGCCGGTGCACTACACTCGGAGGAATGGCAAAATGGATATATAATCAGACTGCGTCTGGTACCACTAGTGTTGCAACTCTGCGCTGGCTGCTGAAGGCGGGGACGGAGTGCAAATGGAAATGCCCTGAGTGCTGTGATGTCTTTCTTGACTCAGAGCAAATTTACTTCATCTTTCAATGTATTAACGACTCTGACTTTTTTGTTTTGTTTTTGTGCGTCTTGGATATTGTAAGACTGCATGCAAAAAATCATTGTGATCCAACAGGCGGTTTTAGAGAAAATGGCTTGCAAGTATGTTCATGAGATGTTGAACGAACTATAGATGAATGTTTCGGTGCAGTGAAAACCTGCGGACAGCATCAGAAGAAAGAAAAATATCAATAGATTCTAAATATTTAACGAACATTCACTTTGGGAATATGATGCATAATGGAAATGAATAGTCATCTAGTGCAAACTACAGAACAACAATTTCTTCTTTTTATGCATGCAATGTGTCGTCCGTAAATATGGTTGTCTACAACCTTCTGTCTTCATTAACTGTCAACGATTGTTGGATTGGTCTGAATTGCAACTGAGGCGGGTTATTTGTTGTTGTTGTTGATGACATTAACGTGGGCTTCAATACAGCTGAGCCAAAACTGATGCCACATAATATTCTGAGAAGTAACTTTGGGCTGAGTTAGTTTTTAACGCACCAGGCACGGAGTGTCAAGGACACTGACTTCCTACTACTTACATCTGAGCATCAAGTAGAATTAGCTCATAAACAGTATCCTGTCCTGTCCTGTCCTGTCCTGTCCTGTCCTGTCCATAGGCTGTGTTTAATGTCATGGTGGCCTCGTGAGAATTTTGACGGCTGGTACGGTTTTCGGAAAACATGGCAGTTGGCGGCGTTTGCGAAGGTGGATACAAGACACTGGAGATACATAGGCTACACAATCACATAGGGTGGATAACTGGCTAAAGTAAGAGAGACTTGCAGGCACGCCGTGACGAGAGCGACGTTCTGTGAAGCACGCGCTAATGGATGATGAGTGAGTACCAACATGGACTATAAGAATATGCAGACTGACACATAACCAATGGGTTTCCAGCGCAGAACACTTCTAAATTCCAAATACCTGTATACTATAGTCCCTTCCAAAAGTGCTGCCAAACTTAAAAAATCTGTTACTCAGCAACCGTTGGGTGTATCAGTTGTTTACAATTAGCATGCAGCCCGTTAATAAACATATCCGTGTAGTAATATTTTTTTTAAAACAAACATCTGATTTCATTTTTTCCTTTTTTGCAGTGTAAACATATAAGTAAAGTTAAGATCTCTTTCACGCCTTTAGGCACATCGGGCATTTGGGAAAAGCACCCATATTTTTACAGACCAATTGGCAATAGGTGGGTAATGTGGTCAGCAATACGCCAGCCGCTTTTACTTCCCCAGGACATACATCCTGATACCCATTTTAGGCTGGGTCGACATGCGAAGCCCCGTACCATGATAAAAATCCACAAAGCCTGCACTGGGTTTCGAACGCAGTAAGTTGGAATCACGAGTCGACTCTAAAGGCCACAGACGCCGCATAAACACACACACACACACACACACACACACACACACACACATATATATATATATATATATATATATATATATATATATATATATATATATATATATATAATATATTTATACATATACATATACATACACTAATTAAAAGTAAACATTTAGCATGCTTACAGTAACTTGAGTAAACTGTACTTTTCAAAACACCAAAATATAGGCGTTTCACTCCTAGATGATCATCTGGAGCATCAGTCTCCGGTTATTTCAGTTTATTGGGAACAGACTATCAAAATAATCATCACGCATCTCTGCATATGTAAACTGATTTCCAAAAAATCTCCAATCCTGTGTCATGTGAACTGATTTGCAATCTTCACACTTGTGTCACGTGAACTGATTTGCAATCCCCGTCCCTGTGCCATGTGAACTGATTTCCAAACAATCTCCACACCTGTGTCACGTGAACTGATTTCTAAACAATCTCCACCCTGTGTCATGTGAACTGATTTCCAAACAATCTCCACACCTGTGTCACGTGAACTGATTTGCAATATTCACACTTGTGTCACGTGAACTGATTTGCAATCCCCGTCCCTGTGCCATGTGTACTGATTTGCAATCCCCGTCCCTGTGTCACGTGAACTGATTTCCAAACAATCTCCACACCTGTGTCACGTGAACTGATTTCCAAACAATCCCCACACCTGTGTCACGTGAACTGATTTCTAAACAATCTCCACCCTGTGTCATGTGAACTGATTTCCAAACAATCTCCACACCTGTGTCACGTGAACTGATTTGCAATATTCACACTTGTGTCACGTGAACTGATTTGCAATCCCCGTCCCTGTGCCATGTGTACTGATTTGCAATCCCCGTCCCTGTGTCACGTGAACTGATTTCCAAACAATCTCCACACCTGTGTCACGTGAACTGATTTCCAAACAATCCCCACACCTGTGTCACGTGAACTGATTTCTAAACAATCTCCACCCCGTGTCATGTGAACTGATTTCTAAACAATCTCCACCCTGTGTCATGTGAACTGATTTCTAAACAATCTCCACCCTGTGTCACGTGAACTGATTTCTAAACAATCTCCACCCTGTGTCATGTGAACTGATTTCTAAACAATCCCCACCCTGTGTCATGTGAACTGATTTCTAAACAATCTCCACCCTGTGTCATGTGAACTGATTTCTAAACAATCCCCACACCTGTGTCATGTGAACTGATTTCTAAACAATCTCCACCCTGTGTCACGTGAACTGATTTCTAAACAATACCCACGCCTGTGTCACGTGAACTGATTTCCAAACAATCTCAACACCTGTGTCACGTGAACTGATTTCCAAACAATCTCAACACCTGTGTCACGTGAACTGATTTCCAAACAATCTCAACACCTGAGTCACGTGAACTGATTTCCAAACAATCTCAACCCCTGTGTCACGTGAACTGATTTCTAAACAAAACCCACGCCTGTGTCACGTGAACTGATTTCCAAACAATCTCCACACCTGTGTCACGTGAACTGATTTCTAATCAATCCCCACACCTGTGTCACGTGAACTGATTTCTAAACAATCCCCACACCTGTGTGATGTAAACGATTTCTAAACAATCCCCACACCTGTGTCAGTTACCGTACATTTTTTTTCAGGGGTGCATAAATTATTAGTCAAACAAAGGTTAATAAAATTAGCCGCTCTAAGAAAATTGGGCACAGTAAATTATACAATCATAAGGACATAGGAGATCAAATGATTCCTGCCGCAATTCGCGTTGATCCTAAAGGAGTTTTTGAGATATGTGTTACAGTGCGACAGCTTACGTTTTGAAACGCACTATAGATTGTTAAGGAAAACGTCGTCAGCGTATCTCGGTCTGAAGGGACACATTTTGCAGCTGCGCCTTAAACATACATAACACAGTTACGTCCTCAAACATAAATGGACAAAGGAAAAGAAAAAGTTAAGGTAAGATAGCCAAACTTTATTGTCGGCAACTATCGTATTTCGGCTTTTAATATACAGTAAAATTAAATATTATATTATGAACTATATTATGGGATGAATGTTACGAATACCTTGTACGGCCAGAGTAACTAAAAACGATTGCTTGAAAGAAGCTAATGACACTAGATCTCTATATACAACAATAAGAAAGAGACAAACCCTGTTCTTTGGCCACATAATGAGAAGAGAGACTTTGGAGAACATTGTGACTACTGGAAAGATCAGCGAAAAAAAAGGGTGGAGACCAAGGGATCGTGATCTGTGGAGACGCTTGAGCGCCTACGCCAGTTGGCAGGGCACATGATGCTGATGATTATGAACTAACCACCTTGTAAATTAGAAAGAAACAAAAAGTCAAGGAATTAAAATAAACACTTGGAAGAGGAAAGCAGTCAGCTTAACCATTCAAGATCGAATGAAAATGACAATATCAGGCAGACTATGGAAACTATACATAACGCTACATTAATTGAAAATCAGAAGATAAAACGGTTTAGTCATCTCGTTAGAATGCAGTCAAACCAATTATCAACACAGCCATACGTCTATGATTAAATGCGAGAGTAAGAGGCGCCTAAAGAGAAGATAGATCGGTGATATTAAAGACATTATACATCCACGCAGAAGACTACACATCGATCGAAGGACCAAGAACTGGTACTCCCCACGGTGTTCAGTACACACAGTAGAAGTTGATGACGAGAATGACCATTATGACGA